TCAACCTCTTACAAACTAAGAGGTCTTCTTTATGTATTCCAGTCTGTTTTGATATCCTCTTCCTGAATATTTACAACACCGGTTTGTCAATCTCATAGTCGAATCAATCAGCTAATCTAAGCAGCCAGATGATTATACACTAATATATATTACACACCAATATATTATTCTAAATATGTATAAGTTTCCATTGAATACTGCCCATGTGCCAGGCATGAAGTATTGACTTCATAATTTCACCTAAGCATCACAACAACCCTATGAAATATGTATATTATATCCAGAAGCTGAGGCTCAGAGATGTTAGGATAATTTTGCTCAAGGTCACAGTGGATGAACAAGGACTTTAACCTAGATCTAACTCCAAAGACTCCACTCCTAACCATTATGTAAAACTGTTTTAATCGTATTGTGTGTATTTTATTTCCCTAACTAGATTTTTGGTAAAGACTTTATTGTTTTTTTTTTAAGTTTGTTTGTTTGTTTGTTTATTTATTTATTTATTTATTTATTTATTTAGAGAGAGCAGGAGCAGGGAAGGGCAGAGAGAGAGGGAGAGAGAGAATTCCAAGCAGGCTCCCCACTGTCAGAACTCATGAACCCTGAAATCATGACCTGAGCCAAAACCAGGAGTCAAATGCTTAACCAACTGAACCGCCCAGGCGCCCTGACAAGGATTTTATTTTGTTTATTTTGTAATCTTTTCGTTGCTATACTAGCTGCTTATACAAATAGTCAGTGCTCAATAAATACTTAAGGAATGCCAAAATGGAGATGAAGCTAGCCGAAAATACCAATTGCTTTTAAAAGGAGTTAGATTTTAGGGGCGCCTGGGTGGCTCAGTCAGTTGGGTGTCTGACTTCCGCTCAGGTCATGGTCTCACGGCTCGTGAGTTGAAGCCCCGCTTCGGGCTCTGTGCTGACAGCTCAGATCCTGGAGCCTGCTTCGGATTCTGTGTCTCCCTCTCTCCCTGCTCCTCCCCTGCTCACACTTTGTGTGTGTGTGTGTCTCTCTCTCTCAAAAATAAGTAAACATTAAAACGATTTAAAAAAAAAGGATTTAGATTTTAGATTCATGGGTGACATATTCATAATGGATGATGTAAAAGGGAGCAGGGTTATTTGGGTCCATTTTTAATACCTGAGATGTCTTGATGGAGGAGAACCACACCTTCACAACCCTTGTTGCTCCATTATTAGTAAGAACTGACTAAGTTGGATGGGATTATGGGTCTGACACCAAATTTGATCATTCTTTGATTCTTCAGCTCTTCTGTTTCCCAGAAACTCCTAGCTTAAAAGGGCCTGTCCCCCTCAAAACACTGAAAATAGAACTACCCTATGACCCAGCAATGTCACTACTAGGCATTTATCTAAGGGATACAGGTGTGCTGTTTCAA